ATGGCATCTAACAACAACAACAAAAGTATATGAATCAATCCTCAGATCACTGCTCTCCTAGAAAATATTACATCCACATGAAAGAGATGCTTGTTCCCTGCTCTCCAGTGCCCCAAAGTCCTTGCCTTCAAAAAGGTTTCTTATTTGTTTTTTGTAATGCTTTCATAGTTTAAAAAATAGGGAGGGTAAATGCCTACTAGTGTGGCACTATAGGATAAGCACTGGACCACAACATCAGTTTGAATGACAAGATTGGCAGTTCAGACTTACCAGCTGTTCCTCAACAACCCTATACAGGGTTCGCTATGAGTCAGAACCGACTTGACAACACTTAATAACAACAGTACTGGCATCAGGATTGGAGGAAGACTCATTAACAACCTGGAATACATAGGTGATACAACCTTGCTTGCTGGAAGATACGAGGACTAAAATTACTGATGAAAATGAAAGACCACAGCCTTCAGTATGTAAAATAATCAAAATATACACATCTTGACCAATAAATAACATCATGATAAATGGAGAAAAGACTAAAGTTTTCAAAGACTTCATTTTACTTGGATCCACCATCAACACTCAAAGAAGCAGTACTCAAGAAATCACATGAGGTACTGCGTTAGGCAGATCTGTTACACAAGACCTCTTCAAAGTGTGCAAGAGCAAAGATGTCAATTTGAGGACTAAGGCCCCCCTCCCCAACAAGACATAGTATTTTTAAATTTTTATTTTATCAGGGAAACCTTTATTTAACTTTTTATAACATTTTTATAACATTAGTCTCATACAATGTTTGTCCTTTTGTGATTGACTAATTTCACTCAGCATAATGTCCACCAGGTTCAACCATATTCTGGGGAGTTTCATAGTTCATCATTATTCTTCAATGCTTTTCCATTGTGTATGGGTTGCACCTCAATGCAAAGAAAACAAAAATCCTCACCACTGGAACAATAAACTACATCATGATAAACAGATAAAAGACTTAATTTTGCTCAGATAAACCACCAACATTCATGACGTAGCAGTCAAGAAATCAAACGACTATTACACTAGGCAGATCTGCTGCACAAGACCTCTTTAAACTGTTCAAGAGCAAAGAAGTCAGTTTGAAGACTAAAGTGCATCTGACCAAGCCATGGTATTTTCAATAACCTCATATCCATGCAAAAATTGGAGAGTGAGGAAGGAAAACTGTGGAAGAACTGATGCATTTGAGTTATGGTGTTGGAGGAGAATATTAAAAGTACCATGGACTGCCAAAAGAACAAACTAATCTGTGTTAGACGAAGTACAGCCAAAATGCTCCCTGGAAGCCAAGATTGGCCAGACTTTGAGTCTCATACCTCAGGCATACTATCGTGAGGGACCAGTCCCTGGAGAAGAATTATCATGTTAGGTAAAATGAAGGAATGGAAAAAAAAGATGACCCCCAATGAGATGGATTGGCATAATGGCAGCAGCGACTGGCTCCAATGTAACAATGATTGTGAGGTTAGTGTAGGACTGGGCAATGTTTCGTTCTGTTATACACAGGGTAGCTATGAGTCAGTACCAACTCGATGGCACCGAACAACTACAACAACGTACCAAAGATGGTTTAACCGTTCTTTTGTTGATGGACATTTAGGCTGTGTCCATCTTTTTGATACGTCTCATGTAGACAGCATATTGAAGGGTCCTGTTTTCTTATCCACTCTGTTTACTATGTCACTTGACTGGTACATTCAATACATTTACAATCAGTGTAATTATCAATAGGCATAAATTGATTGCTGTCATTTTTATGTGTGTTTTTTGTGTGTATGTGTGGTGCTGCTAGATTCTTCTATATAATTTTCTTAGCTGAGTTCATTTTGTTTGTGAGCTTTCTTTTCATTTTCATTTTTGTTGTATTAAAATTTACTAAATCTTTCTGATTTTCCTTTTTCTATTTCAATGTGCAGGTGTATTATATTTCTTTGAGGTTACCCTATAATTTATTATTTCTTTCCCAGTATAAAACAGTCGGTTTCCTACTTGACTTTCTCTTGGAAGTTTTATGTTTACACTATTCCTTTTTTTTTTTTTTAACTTTGTAGTTGACTTCATTATACATTGATATTTCTGGCTCCCTCCTACCTTTAGGATGAATCACAAGATATGAAGTGAATTGGCATAATTAGGGATCATGGAAGTCAGGGCCAGGTTAATTAAAACATTCTCTATGACAGCATGTAGGGAACATGGTTGCTCCATATGGTAAGCACTGGACTCCAGACAAGGTTAGCAATTCGAACCCACCGCTACCGCAACAATTTAAAGCCTAAGAAATCCTACTGAGGTTGCTGTTATGGGCTGTCAAGTCGGTTCCAACTCATAGTGGTTCTGTATAGGGTTTCCAAGGCTTTTTAAATCGAGGGAGTTGGCAGGCTCAAACCATAGACCTAGTGGTTCTCAGTCTATTGCTTATTGTATAGAGCCAGTAGGCTCCCCAGACACCCTATACAGGGTTGCTATAAGTCAACAGATTTGACAGCACTTAACAACAACATGATCTCATGTTTCTTCCCAAGATCTAATACCCTGTAATATCACAAAGCTTTCTGAACCCATGGAATCTCTCTTCTCTTTTAGGTTCTCAGGTGCTCACCTATCTCAAATCCTCCTCTTCTCCTTGGCTTTGCATTCTTTTAGCTTTTAATTCGACTCATTTATCTAATAAAAATCACGCAATCACAAACATGAAAAAAATCTTTAAAATAATTGTATTTATAATTTCATTTTACTGTGAGGGAAACAGAGGTCAAAAAATATTAATGGCTTACTCACAGTTCAAACTACTTCTGAACATTACCCTCTCAAATGCTTAAAATTTAATGTGTGTCAAATTAAATAAAATCAGCAAGCTATACACTTTGGGCATTATTATTGTTTAGTGCCACCAAGTCGGTTCTGCTTCATAGTGACCCTGAATAGGGTTTCTGAAGAGTGACCGGTGCATTTGAACTGCCAACCTTGCAGTTCAAACCAACTTTGTAATCCAGTGCTTATCCTACAGCACCACACTAGGACTCCTATATGTTTTGGGTAAACTCAAAAATATGAATTGCTGTGACGTCTCCCACTCTCTATCTCCACCATTTAATTATAAAATTCTGTTCATTCTGTCAAATATTCAAAGTAGTCAGGATGAAAGCACCTCTCAGCTAAGAATCAAAAGTCAGCAAATGTATATGTTTATTTTAGTGAAAATTATTGTCTCTTAAGAGCAATTTACAGAGTCCATGTAACCAAAGCCCATGCCATCATGTGTAATAAGATACAAGTTTTCCCTAGGAAAGGGCCATTATATAATGTTTATAAAAGAACCATTTCTTCACTCTTCCTTCTGGAGTCTTCTTCTAGTAGACATATAGACAATACCTAATGGTCTAAAATTTATGATGTGTTATGTAAGCATTAGAAAGATTCTGCCAAAATTAGATTTCAATGAATAATCTATCTGCTGAGGGTGAATATAGGATGAGTGTAACAGTTAACTGTATTATGAATGCATTTATTTTGGCAGCCTGTCTCCTGGGGAAATGTCCTTGATGATGCACCACACTTAAAATGAAAACTGGTTTTAAAATTAAAGTCTTTCCAAATTAAGCCCAGACATTATGAAAATAGAATGGAGGCTTTTAAGCTTCTGAGCATGATATTCATACAAAGTTCCTTTGGCTTGCCAAACATGACTCTTTTTAAATGAGCAGCAGGTCAAAACTATAAGGCATGTTTGGGACTGTTGGAGAACTTATCTGGTGATGCTGTAACTTTTAAGGCTTTGAAAAATCTAAATTCTTCCCCACTTGCTGATGCTCTTCAGCGTCCAGAAGACCTGAAAATAGCTCTTGTCCATTTGAAGATCATTGGCTTTCTACCACTCTCTCCCACTGACCAGAGAAAGGGCATGCTTCCCAAAAGCTTTGTGGGAGAGATAACTTAAATCACTATAGTTACAAAATTTATGAAGCTCTCACTAAAAAAAAAAAAATGCTAAGCCTGAATAAAAGTGTCTAAAGCTCCCATACATTTCCTCACAATAAAGTGTCACAAACTCAGATGAGGAAGATTCTTTTAAAAATTTAGGGGAGGTTTCTTACCGCAGCAAAGAGAAGACATCGTAAGAATTACGAACACAGTTCTGATCCACCTGAAGAATATTCTTCTGAATATTTGAATAACCCTGGAAGACATTAGTCAGTGCATGAATCAAAGGTAAATAAATGAAAACCCTATGTACAAATTAACATAATTTCCATCATTTAAAAAATATATATGGTTTATAAACATATCAGCAAATTCAAATGGTTAGAGTTTCAAGAAAATTTTAGTATAATTCCCACACAAGTCTAACCTTTTAGATAATTAACTGTAAAATAAGTTTCTTCTAGCATTTTCCCATACAATGTTTCACATTATAAATTGTGGTAAATTTCTCAGAGAAGGCCCAGAAGTCTTTTTAATGTGTTATGTGGCCAAAAAAAGAGTGTTTAACAATAATATTTCAATTATGCCTAGTCATCCTAATGTTTTTATGGGGAATAAGGAAAAAAAGGCATTCCAAGTTCTAATTGTTGTTGCTGTTGTTAAGTGCCGCCGAGTCGGTTCCAACCCATAGCGACCCTGTACAGGGTTTCCGAGGGTGAAAATCTTTATGGGAGTAGAACGCCTCATCTTTCTCCCGTGGAGCGGCTGGTAGTTTCGAACTGCTGACCTTAAGGTTCGCAGGCCGATTCGTAACCACTACGCTACCAGAGTTCTAATTAGGAATACCAGAAACAAATATTTCCACAGATGCACAAAAGTGGTGCAAGCAACAATGGTTTCTAGAGGGAACACACAAGATTCCATTCAAAGAACAGAACCAATATCTCTGTCATTTGAGAAAGGCAGAATAAACAGTGGTTACAAAGGCTCTGGACCCAGACAGCTGAGTTCAAATTCAATCCCTCAATACAACAGATCTGTAATGTTGAAAAGGTACCACAAGCTCTTTGATTTTAACCTTGGTTTCTTCATTTATAATATAAAATGGTAATTATCTACCTCAAAAGTTATTGTGGGAATTAAAGAATATTTATAACATGAAAGGTATACATACAGTAATCATTCCATAAGTATATTTTAAAGTTATAGCTACAGACATTAGAAGTACATTAAGAAGGAAGAACGGAAAAGGGAGATAGAGAAGAAACAGAATAAGTGGTATTACATTGTAAGAATTACAGTCAATTATTTGAAACAAAATGTGTATGAACTGCTAAACTGAGAACTGATTTGCTCGGTAAATCTTCATCCATTTCACAATAAAAAGGTTAATAAAAGAGAGGGGGGATGAGATATTATGAGCAATTTTGTGTTAACAACAGAGTTTCAAACTGTTTCTTCCCCATTCACTTATAGCAAAACAAAATCAAAGGGACACGAATTTGTAAAATGTGGCTATACTGAAATGAACAGCACAGGAAAAATTAGTCTGATGCCCTACTAGAATTAATTTAATTAAATTAAGTAGAATTAAATTAATTTAATCTTCCCCTTAAAAACAAAGGCAGCATGCAATATCACATAGCAACCAACTTTCTTGATCAGGAGACACAGAAGCAATAGTACCCAACTCAAAGATTGAGGCCAACTGGGCAGCTTTGAAGGTGTGTCACTCTCTACAATGTTGGCAATAATCAAATCTCCTGCATCAGTCTTCTGAAAGGTGTCACTACGCCTCTTTCAAGTTTCCCATTCTAGAGCGTTGACCCATTTTTTCCCCCCCATTCCAATTATCAATCTGGTAGACTCACAATTTATAAATTCGGGTCTGTTCTGATTTCATGGAGGCAGCTATGTCTGAACCAGCTTGAAATGATTTGAAGCCCTGGCTAAATATATGATAACATATGACAACTTTAGTGAATTAGAACATTTTTTGTTTAAACATGTTGTTGTTGTTAATAAAAGAAAAAACATTGTTGCTGTTGTTAGGTGGTGTAGCGTTGGCTCCAACTCATAGCAACCCTATGCAGAACAGAGACCAAAACACTGCCCAGTCCTGCACCATACTCAACAACTGTTGTTACACTTGAGGCCCATTGCTGCTGCCATTGTGCCAATCCATTTTATACACCTACCATGATGTGCCTTCTCCAGGGACTGGTCCCTCCTTATAATATGGACAAAGTATAAGAGATAACATCTGGCTATCTTGTCTTCTAAGGAGCATTCTTGGTTGCACTTCTTCCAAGACAGATGTATTTGTTCTTCTGGAAGTCCATGGTACTTTTGATATTCTTATCCAGCATCTTAATTCAAATGTATCAATTCTT